ACGTTATGGTTTTGATTGGACATAAATACGACACAATGCCCACATGATTTCATGGGGTGTTACAGGGGAGGGAAAATAGCTCAGTGGTAGAGCATCGGTTTCTTAACTCAATGGTCGTCAGTTCGATCCCCGGATTATTTCCGCAAGAAATTATCCGTCCCTCCACTGGGGAATCCGGATAACAAGGACTGCATACGAAGACGAAGACCGAACTTCGAAGAATAGCGGTCGAAGCACGAGGTATGAAGCATTGAACGAAGTAAAATCGAAGATTACACACCGCCCCTGGTTGGGCAGGCGCGTTACAATTGGCGAAGCGATTCCACAACATGTGGTTCTAATATCGATCCTCGCGTAGGAATGTCTTAATAATGATAATCCAAAACTCAATTAACCATGGGGTGTTACAAATTTGTACGAGGACTACTCACTCAGGGAACTTGGTACTATTGACCTAAAACGTCCCTGAGTAAGTATGTGTGTGTTGTTTCCCTCGCCAGTACCAACACAAATAACCAAATGGGGGAGTGCCGACTCCTTGCAAACCGCACACTTGATTGACTTGATGATACCACGGGACTTGGATTAAGTCGACCACGACACCCCCCCAAGCCATGTCCCGCAGGACACACTTGGGCCTCGCTAGTTCTTCGCGCTCGCTCGCTCCATCGCCTTGTGCAACCTATCGCCTTCGCTCGCTTTCTTCACGCCTTAGCTCGCTTTCTTCACGCCTTCAACGTAGTTCCTCACCACGACCGGGCATTCATGCATGAGCTTCTGTAGCTGTTCCCATGAGGACTCGATATCCTCAAAACCTTCCTAAAGTACTTCTAGGATGAAGTCTTTCACATCCGGGACAAACTTATGTCCCGCGATGGACTTGACCTTCAGCATGATCCTTTGCTGGGAAACGTGTTCGAGGATCTCTTCGGTCACTTCAAAGCTGTCTTCGGCGTAGAGCTTGACTCTTGACGTGTGAGCTTCCCGCAGCTCATGAGTCACCAGGTGCTCCAGCACGACGGAGAATTAGCCCACTTCCTTGACTCGGTAGGGACCCGTCCGGGTTACGAGCAGCTTGGGATGGTAGCGTTCGTCGACGCGGGACCAGAGCAGAAAATCGCCTTCGCTGACATTGCACCGCTCGTACTTAGGTAGTAGGCCAAGGTTAGGTCATGATGGACCTTGAACTTATGGGCCAACGCCTTCATGGCCACGTTTTTGAAATGAGTTCCTTGATCGCTGACCCAAACTCGCGGCATTCCAAACCGATTTGTGCAGTCCACAAGGGCATCCACGCATACTTGGCTCGTGGGGCCATCGCATGCAATGAGCTCGCAGTAGTGGGTAAGGTCGTCTTTGAGTACCAGCACGTACTTAGCGTCACTGCACGCTTCGCCCATATTGAGATAGTCGAAGTGGATTCCTTCGTTGCGCTCTTCGCGTGCCATCTCGCAGCATACGGTCGATGGAACACTCTTCCCCATTTTACATGAGACCACAATAAGCAACCACGGAGGAATTCACTGGCCCTGTCGGCCAAGTGGTTGATATAAAACAGGCGGCGGATTGTAGTATGTCCACGATGTCCGGCGTTCCTGCAGTGGGCAACAACCATGATCCGTTGGATCAGGTCATTCGCCACACTCGGAATCCATAACCGCTCGTCCACCACTGTGGCTCGCTTTGGTTTGTCCGTGTCATGCTGGTCTTGGGTGTGACGGATGTCCGCCACGCATGTCCGCACAAAGTCCTTGTCCAGCGGCCGCTGTTTTGGTTATGCCGGTGGAGGGACTTTGCGCGTTTTGACTTTCTTTGACCAGCCATGGCCCCGACGTATTTTGACCAGCTTGGTCGCCAGACTTGGTGTCGGCTGACCCCAACGCTCATCATATTCGCCCAAAGGTTGTGGATGCCGTCGATGTGTATGATTTCATAACGATAGCCGCCAATAATGGCAGCCCATCGTATGAGTTTGCCGCGTGCGCGCACCTTCAATTCTTCGCCCGCGGCAAAGACATGGATGAGGTTCTTGTGGTCACAGTACATCTTGAACCCCGTAGGTCGCATAAGCATGTAATTGAGCTTCTCGCACGCATGCGCAATAGCGTAGGCCTCGTTTTCGATGACTGAAGACGCCTTCTGGGCGCCCGCAAACATCCCCGACTGACACAAGAGCAGTTCGTGACGTTGTTCTTGGACTGGGCTGTCATCATCGAATCCCACTACTTGAGTTACCACGATCGCTCGCATCCGTAAAACAAACACATCGTGGCGTCATCACGCGGGTGAGACAGTTCCACCGATGATCGTAGCTTGGACTTCACGGCGTCAAACGCTAGCTTCTCGCCGTCGGTCAGTTCCAACTGAACTCCAGACGCGATCCGCTTCTTCTTGCCCTTGCCTTCGAGGGCCTTCGTCAGACACTGCTGCAGTGGGTCGACGGTCTGTGCGTACTCTGTCATCGAGTTCCGCAGCCAGTTCACGGCGCACACAAACTGCTGCAATTCTCCCGCATTCGTAAAGTAGGGGATCGCACACATATGTTCAATGCATTCAGGGTCTTGCTTAACGCAATCACCGCTGATGATGCATCCGCACCACTTAGTCCGTGAGCAGTATGGTTTTCGCCGGACTCAGTTTGAAGCCGTACTGGGCCACTCGGTCGAAGAACGACTCGAGGACATCCACGTACTCTTCCACTGTGTCGGCGTACACAAAGATGTCGTCGATCTAGATAAGGATTCACTTGCAGAGCAGGTCCTTGTAGCACTCCTCGTTCGTTGATTGCACGTGGGCACTGTCCACAAGTTCTTGCATCACCCAGTCCGGGGTGTACACGCATTCATTGAGCATGAACAACAACAACATGTCCCAGCTGTCTGGGTGTAGCGGGAACTGCCAAAAGTACTTGGGCAGGTTAAACACGCCCATCGCTTTCTTGCCACGCAGGTTTTGCAGGATGGTAGCTTGGAGTGGCATTGTCCCGGCCTTCGTCTGGTTAGCAAGTTCACGACGCGGTAGTCATTGTTTAGCCGGTAGTTCTTGAGCACGTTTTCATCACTTTCGTCACACACGAGTGGTCAAGGAGCTTCGAGTGGCTGCGTCGTCGTCGGATACCTCTGACGAGAACAATGCCATCATCACCAAGGCCATCGGCAGCGAAGAACGAGCCGTGGAATCATTGGCGTGGTTGAGCTCTGTGGAGACTGACATGGCTGGCCGGTGGGGCGCGGTGGATTGTAGCGTGGCAGTCGACGACATCCTCGTGCAGTCCGTGGGCGGCTGGACGCATTTGGCGGTCGGTGGCTTGATGGCCGACGACTTGTGCTAGAACATCGTGAAGTATTTAGTTAACAGTAAATTAGAAACCAATCGAACTACTGTATTGGTAACTTACTGGAATTTGTTGGGACAACGTAGTGTATGTAGCTTGTAAGCCACCGGAAGCATTCGACAAGCTACTCCTTTAACGTTACTGGTACTTTTCGAGTTGGACTGGTATTGTTGTGTTTATTCTAAACTGGAGCGACATGGAGAATGAATCGACACAACCAAATGTGCAGTAGAATCGGCAGAAGTATTTAGCTTAACGTTAGTTATCAGATTGCAGGAAACCACCATCAACGTCAAATTAGTGTGATACTTCAATTAGTGTAATACCAATCACCACAAGACACCTTTTTACATACAAAATTCAGTACTACGAAGTACAATGTATGGATCGATAGATTTGGCGAATCAGCACAAAAGTTCAAATTTTGGGTAAAAGGACAATATTAATACCTGTAGATATGAGAACTATTATTTTTATAATAGTTCTCATACAGTATTACTACAATAGTACAGTAGTCCCCCGCAATAGGGAACCCACAATAAATCAATATCCTCGCAAAATATATTCTTTCACAAGATGTTGCAAAATAAATTTAAAGAGGCTGATTGAAATTTCAAACGACACATGTTGCGAAAATGCACTTGGTTGTCAAAATGCCGTCACCCTCGACATCGATGAGACTCACTGTCGAGCAAAAGCGCTCACTATTGACGCACCACAAGTCCATCCTGGCATGAGAGGACTTGAATTGCGAATTTGGGCTCAGCATGCGTTTGGGCTGCCACGTGTGCCCCAAACGTCGACTATGCGACTTTGTCTCGTTAGCTCAACACCCAGAGCGATCACATGGACGTGCATCCGTCACATAAATCAGCACACAAACCTCGCCTACCGGCCTCTACTAACTGCTGGCGCCATACGGGTATACTGGACGTAGAGATGTATGAGTTGATCGAGAGTATGAACAACCTTTGAGGAATATAATGTGCGCATTGTTGTTGGTGTGCGTTTTGTCTTCTGGAGGTTGCCAGGGTATCAACCCCCTGTAAATATGATGTCCATTTTTGACTGTGAGCACTTGCCAATACCAT